TCCTCCTTCTTTTTAGGGGAGGTCACAAGGAGTAGACCTGGAAGGATGGGGAAGTGAATATGATCAGGGTTTGTGATGTGAAATTCCCAAATAGTCAATAAAAATATTATATGTGTGTGTATATATATGCATATAGATGTGTGTATGTGTACATATATGTATATATGTATATACACACACATATATACATATACATATACATATATGTAAATAAAATAGCTCTTGCAGCTTATCATCAAGTCTCAGGTTCTGTGTTCTTTCCTTAATCAAACTGCTCAAAATATTGCCTCTACAAATCTATGCTTACCTATGGAATCCCATTAGTATTGAATCTACCACACTGGATTCTCTCCCTAACTAATGTTATTTTATATGTATTTTGTTGGCCAGGTACAAACGGTAGAAGATGATTTGAAAACAGATTTCTACAAGAATTTAATCAATATTGAAAATAAGAAAAATGAAGCTCCTTCGTTTTCAGGTGAACAGAAACAGTTTTATGGTGTGCCAATTTTGTTTTCCTCAAAGACAAGTAGAAAATTTCAACAAAACTCAGCCTTCAAGGAAGCTATCCAAGCCTCCCACAAAATGGTAAGGAAAACAGTTCCTCATCATTCATTCTTTCTTCAAAATTAGGGCCTATCCAGGCAACAAGAAGCTGAACTTAAATAGACTCGCTTTTCGTAACTCTCACTTTGAAATATAAAGGGATGCTGCGTCACCATGCTTCCCTTCTCTACAAATTGAACTGTGTGAGGGCTTTTTTTTTTTTTTCAGTTTTCTGTCCCATGCTGTGGTCAATGTGCTTTGTTTTCAATAAAATTTAAGGCTTATTTTTTTATTTTTTTATTTATGTATATGGATGTGTGAGTGAGTGTATGCCACATGTGTGTGGATACCCCCAGAGGCCAGAAAAGGATATGGGAACACCTTGAACCAGAATTACAAAACAACTGTGAGCTACTAGATGTGGGTGATGGAACCAAATTTAGGTCCTCTGGAAAAACAGCCAGTTCTCTCTCTCTCTCTCTCTCTCTCTCTCTCTCTCTCTCTCTCTCTCTCTCTCTCTCTCTTCTTAAGAAATTTTTTTATTCATTTTACACAAAGATCCCCCTCTTCCCTCCTCCCACCCACTCCCAGCCTCCCCCCCAACCTACCTCGCCCAACTCCCCACCACAAGAAGGCAAGTCCTCCCAGGAGGAGGCACATCCAGTAGAGGCAAGTCTAAGCCCTTCCCCCTGCCTCAAGGCTGCACAGGGTATTCCCATCATAGGTAGTGAGCTCCACAAAACCCACTCATGTACCAGAGATGGATTCTGATCCTACCACCAGGGGGTCCCCCAAGCAGATCAAGCTACACAATTGTCTCACCATGCAGAGGGCCTAGTCCAGTCCCATGCAGGTTCCACAACCGTTGATCCAAATTTCATGAGTTCCCACTAGTTTGGTTTGGTCATCTCTGCAGGTTTCCCTATCATGATCCTGATGCACTTGCTCATAGAATCCCTCCTCTCTCTCCTCCTGGACTCCTGGAGCTCTGCCTGGTGTTTCAGCCAGTTCTCTTAACTGCTGAGACATCTAGCCTCAGAGAGGGCTTTTTTATAAAAGCATCAATAAATTATACAAAGTAAAAGATTTCATTATTAGGTAATTGCCAGTGATGGGGTTAATTTTTAGACTGCTTGTGATTTAAATGTATTTTCTTAGTTGTTATAAATATTTTGAGACGTTCATATATGAGTATTTATATCATTTCTACCCTTCCTTCACCGCTAACTCTTGCCCTGCCACTCTGCTCCCTCTCAAATTCAAGGCATTTTCTTCTTTAATTGTTACTGTTAGAAAAGTCTTTAGCCTATTGAGTCTATTTAGTGTTGTTCACATGTACATGTATTTAGAGCTGATACTTTGAGATTTTATAACCTATTGGATGATTTGTCCCTGGGAACAACTGATTCTCTCAGCCGCCATTGATTGCCTGTAGATCTTAATCTAGGGGGTAGGGCCTTGTGAAATTTACCCCATTCACACTTGGGCATGTTGATTGGTGTAGTCTTTATGCAGGTGTTGTTTAGGCAACAAATAATGTTGAGATCTCATGGACTGTAATTTCCCTGTCATGTTTAAAATTCCTTTTAAAAACTTATGCATTCATTTATTGTGTGTGTATGTATGCGCGCATGTGTCCTCACATGTGAATGCACACCCTTCACAGTATATGTGCAGAGGTCAGAGCACAAGTTGTTAGCGTTTATTCTTTCTTCCTATCACTCCAGTCTCAGGGATCAGACTCAGGTCATCAGGCTTGCTTTAACTAACTGAATATGTTTCTTATAAATCACATATAATAACTGTCTTTTTTATGCAATCCACATCAGGCTTTCTATAGACATATAACAGTCCCTTCTTTTAATCCATTAATTCATACTATCTAGGGATCTTGTCTTTGATCAAATCCTCATGTCACCCTAACGAAGCATCCATAGTTACACAGAGTTGTCTCACAGTGTAGCACAGAGAGGGAAGGAGGTGGGCAAACTGAAGAAATGCAGGTGATCTTCAGGTGGTGGCCTGACTTTAAAATAGACTTCACATAGTTGGATATAAATGTTTTAAACATACTAGAAAGCACACATTAAAAACCCTGTTCTGTGGTAAATAGCTATTTTTTATCTCAATAGTCTTTCCCAAAGTCAAAACCTTGGGGCTATTTACAGCTTAAAGTACATGAAATTGCTGCTTTTCAACCAGTCTGCCTTAAAATTGTCACCCTCGTATGGCTCAACTCAATATCATGATGAACATAGAAGACAGAGTCCATCTGAATAGAGCATGTCTTTATTCTAGTCTATCTAAGGAGAAAATGCTACTGTGGCCTTTCTTAGTCTGCAAATACTGTGAGTTGAACCAGACCCTTCCACTGAACCCAATGTGTGCTGTGGTTTTGTTTTGTCAATCCCAGATCTGACTAAACTTATTCACTGGGCAGAGAATCACTTCAGAGCCAAATCATAATCAGTTCTGTGAGGCTTGGTGAATCTCTCATTTACTTTACACAGCTTAAACTACACAATATAATCCAGGCACAGCAAGATCTTATGAATGGGTGAAATGTGTTTACATTGCTTGAGACTCTGGTATAATGTACCTTCTTGGTCTAGACTAGCCAGTTCCAGCCTCCATACAGTTGCTGTGCATCATGCCTGTGTTTCTGCTATGTGGAGCTGTCAAAGTCAAGCATATGTTTCCCTGGATGTCCTCTGTAATGAAAACTGTAAATATTGAACCTCCAAAAGCATGCATTAAAGATGCTTGGCTCCTCCCAAAAGCACAGAGATACTCCAAGTTTGGGGACTGTTGGACAAAGTTCAAGTGTAAAACTTCATAAGTAGAGTTGGTGGGCACACCCTGAAACATAAAATCCACAACAAAAAAGTCTTCCTCTGCCTTGTTCACTTCTACAACGAGTGCCTCTGACATAACGGAACAAAAATTAAATTGAAGACAAGAACATATGGGGAGAAAGAGTAAATGACAGCTCCTTTTTATCCTTGCAGTGTTTTTGGTATTTGCATTAGCGGTTTTTGATGTCATAATTATAGCATACAGGAAAATGACTGGTTTATAATTAACAGTTACAATAAAATCTTTTTTGCTAAAACATGGTAGTTATTCTGTTACCATCACTTACATAACACAATTTGTTAGAATTGAGAGATCAGATAGAATACATAATTTGTAAACACAGTGTACCTGAATATGCTCATAAATGCCAGGAGTTATGTTGGAGAATGCAGAGGCATGAGACCATAACACAGTATCAACTGTTTAACCTCAAATTAACCTACATAATAAGAAATGAAGAAACAAGCAGATGTGTTTGCAAAAACACAGCAATTAAAAAGAAAGCCTTCTCACTTTTGCATATGGGTGGCAGAGATGAACTATAAAGAATTAGTTTAATGTCATTACTTAGTGACAGAAAATGTGGTGTTCTTTGGCATTGAGGGTATGAAATGTCATCTGGTGCATATTTTCTTCATCTGGCAGTAGACAACTGAAGTCTACAGAATTTAATGCTTCTTTGTGATTAGTGAATGTAACTAGAGTTTTCCTGCCTTGCCCACAGTCAGGACAAACCTTTGTCACCCACCAGTCCCACAGCCGCTCAGACCCAACCAAGTAAACACAGAGACTTATATTGGTTACAAACTGTATGGCCATGG